CATGTTCAAGTGAAACAACAGTTGTACCAACCCATGTTTTGAAGGCTGAGAGAAGAAAGAAGAGAAATACAGGAAAATAAAATGTTCAATTAATTTAATAGAACATAGCTATTTCAAAATATACGAGGCAAAATTTGCTTTCACTAAAATTGACATTATATTTTTGTGTTTTAGAATCAGGTGCTGTTTTCACATTTGGGAGAAGCAAATTTGCAGAAGATGTTCCTAGCAAGTTCTGGTTCAAAAATGACAAGCCTGTACTTATATCATGTGGAGATGAACATACCGCTATTATTACAGGTCAGTATTGGAAATGGAGCGTGTAGAATCATAGAATTGTTTAGGTTGGAAAAGACCTTTAAGATCATCAAGCCCAGCCATTTAACCAGCGCTCCACCACTCCCATGGGCTGCCTGTTCCAATGCTTGACAACCGTTTCGGTGAAGAAATTTACCCCAATATCCAATTTAAACCTTCTCTGGCACAACCTGAGGCTGTTTCCTCTCATCCTGGTACTTGTTACCTGGGAGAAGAGACTGACCCCCACCTGGCTACAGCCTCCTTTCAGGTAGTTGTAGAGAGCCATAAGGTCTCCCCTGAGCTGCTTTTTCTCCAGGCTAAACAACCCCAGCTTCCTCAGCTGCTCCTCACAGGACATGTGCTCCAGACCCTTCACCAGCCTCACTGTCCTTCTTTGGACACCCTGCAGAACTTCAATGGCTTTCTTGTAGTGAGGGTGATCGATGTGATAAAAGGATATATATTTGGACAGCTTTGAAAGTTAGAAATCTTATTTGAATCCTGAGGTAATAAATGAGTTTGTGGAGAGGAGAGAGGACTGTTCTGTGGGAACTGTTGGATGCCTTTAGAGTTCCCGTGAGGTTACTCCAGGTTTTCACAAGACGTGCCCAAGAACTGTCTTAAGCGAGTTTATAATAACTGAATGTATCACAGGATTTAAAGTAGGTATGACTTTGTTCAGGTTGAATGTATCTTGTGAATCTGACAATGTTTAGTCTGTTAGATATATTGTATCATTGAAGGAACAGTATCTGCTGAACACCGTCAAGAAATTCACTAGAAATCTGCTTGAAACAAGAGATACAATTGTATCTCTGAGATGAAGGTTTGAATTACTGATAACTGTTAGTTGAAAATAACCCTTGAAAGAGCAACTCAATAAACTTCAGAAAATCCTACAAAAAAGATAAGTAAATGGAAAAAAAATTCAAAGAAACTCTGATGTAATACAGTGAGCATTATTAATGTTTATTTTAATATCTTTGAAATGATGGAGACAGTACAGATTAAAAAAATTTTTCATTTTATTTTACATGAAAGGGATTACTGTTCTGTTGGTGAGCATGTGTGTCAATTGTATTGACAATCTACTGCTGATAGATAATTAGACTTTGTTGTTATAAAATTTATATGTGTATTTTCAGAAATTTTTAAATTGGAATGTAGTTATTCCTCATCAATAGCCAATTGGTCATTTCTTATTAAATAGTTTCTTGAGTGTTTCTTGCAATGTTTGAAAGCAGCATTGAAGATGCTGGATTTTTAGAAAGAACTCTTCCAGGCATGATAGAAAAGACTGTAGATTTCATGGACTGCTGGACATCTTGAGGTGAAATTTCACAGTGAATTTTTCAAGCCTAACTTCATAGAAGACAAATTATACATTAATAGTTTATTTTGAACAAAACTTTACACTTTTTCTTGGATTGAACCAGTAATATTAAACTTCCTGTCGCATAAAATTAATCCGGATGTAAGCTGGGGCACTGTGATATTTTCCTTTTGAATTTTATTTTTGTATGTGCTTTTATATGCCCATACCCAGTTTGAAGTAACACTGGTATAGTTTGCTGTTTAAACTAGTTGGTTTAAGTTGCCTCCTAGCATGTGCCTGTGCCAGCACTGTTACCCTAATCAATCACTGTAATAGTGACCACTTAGATAAAGCTTTTGAAGAAGTCATCTTACATAGATTTGCATGGAGCAGCAGTCCTCTACTGTCTTCCCTTTTCCCTGTTATTTTAATATATGTTTCAAAAATGTCTCTTTAGCTCTCCTTAGCTGTTATAGTGAGCAGATACATCTCCAGGGAAGCTTCTAGATAATCGGCTCCTTATTTTCTCAAAGCTTTTGAGAAGAAGGAACTACAGAAGCATGAGTAAAAAGCTTTTTAGGTACCAAAATGTTTTCTGGGTCATTGTAAAGTAGAGGGAAAAGTGAGGGTAAAGGATGGATCAACGACAAGCAAAGGTAGAGAAACGGCAAGAGTCGTATGAAAAAAGTGAAGAAGGGGAAGAGAAAACCATTGTCCCTCATTTGTTCTTCACACCTGTGCATGCCCATGTGCACCTCACATTTCTGCTGTTAGATGGAGTTGGATGATGCAATGGAATTACAGCCCTTGGTGACTGACACTGAACTGCAGTAACACCTGGAACAAACACTCCAGAGGTGCGTGCCAATACTGAGTTTACTGAGAAGGGTACAGGTCCTGTGGGAAACCAGGAGCTTCTTCAGCTGAACCTGGCCTGGAAGAGATAAAAAACATCACCGAGGAAGGAAAAGTGTCTCAAGCAGGTGTGTGTTAATGCATGCTTCATTTTATTCTCAGTCTTTATTTACAGGTCACAAAATTCTCCCTCTTTTTTTTTCCACACCTTGGAAGAGGGAGTGGGACCTATATTTGTAGGGGTCAGTAGAAATATGAGGTAGGTTCAAATCTGATAGAGATATATCAATTTGACACTAACATGTCTCAACAATCGTAAGTAAAACAATCACACAAACTGATACAAGACATTCCTTAATGCTGGATTTGGGCAGGAGAGACAGGTATATCTAGCACTGAGTCTTGACTGAATACTAATGAAGATAATGTACAAGAACTAGTATTTAGCATTCAAACAAAATATTCAGAGCCTTTCAGATACTCCTTTCATCTAATACAGCATCAATATTCCTGTTTGACTTCTATGAAGAAAGTAAATATAAAGCACTCTGGTTTTTGGCTTTCTATGTCAGGAGTTAAGAGTCCAAAATTTTATTTACATGCTCTGGTTGTATGTTGGAATAGAGAGAACCAGTGATAGTTACTTGCTGGCTTTGAGCTGGCTTGCTGAGTTAGTTGAAGAAACGTTTCCTTCTCCAGTTTTGGAGTTTGAAATTTGTGTTTCTTTATTCATTTGCTGTCTACTATTAGCATAAACATCATTGAAATGTTCAAGCAGGAATTTTTTAAAGCAGTGGTCTTCTTTAGGTCTGTAACACAAGTCATGAGCAGTACATCTTCCAGCATCACTTGTAACATGTTTAATAGTGGTTCTTGCCCCATTTCTGTACTTTTTGGCCCAGGACTACTGACAGGCCATTCCCTGCATCTTCTATAACTGCAGGCTTTGTAAAGCAATTTATTCAGCTTCTTGGGAGCTGGTGTGAAGAAGTGATGATACATATACTTTTAAGAATCTCCTTCCAATACCTGTCTATTAATTGTCCTTCTGACAGAACTCTTAAGGTTAACAATTGTCTTATTGTTTATTTGTCTTGACTAGAGTATCCTAGACAGCTTGCCCACATTTGATCAGAGACTGATCCTGTTCACAGGGGGGAAAATGGTGACGAACGAAGACATGTTTTCTGAACTCAGTGCTCTGGAGAGAATTGAAGCCCCAGTGCAAGAGAGTAGAAGGAAAGAAAGAAGTATCAATTGTGAAAGTAGAAGTGGGAAGAGGTGCATGTGGAACCACAAGAAGATAGTATACTCATCATTTTGGGTTTTGAAAGGCATTAAACCTTCAACAAGAGACCCTGGAATCTCTCCAGGTCTTTTGACACTGTATTTCTTCTCCTGTTTCTGCTTACCAGCACATCACCAGCACATGGCAGAGTATCTTTTGCATCAACTGCAAGGGGAGAATGAGAAAAGATTAGTGCACATTTGTGTTGATGCACTATTTTTGTTTGTGTGATGATAAATGTCCTAAGCATGACTATTCTTGTTACTCAATAAAGTTTTTATTTTCAGAATATCATGACTTGCCTAACAAAACTGATGTCATTCCTGGTTTTTTTAGAACTATTTGAGTTGTATATGGATTTTAAATTAACTGTTAACATAGTTTATTTACAAAATAGCATAAAAAAAACGCACAAAATTTAAAAAAAAGCACAAAAAAAAGCATGGTGCCTGGCATATATTCTGGACTCTGTCCAAAATATTACCTTTTATGTTTTTTTAGATATAGTTTCTCAATAGAATCTTGTAGTAAATGCTCAAAGTCTCTTCATGGTCTCCCCATCTTATTTCTCTCCCACATAATATAATTTAGAAAGCAAAGGGGGGAATATGTAACACATACCTTTAAACACAGGTGATAGGAATACTTGGCAGCCCGCTCTGATGAAGCATATGGGATTTCAGCTGGTATTTCCCAGCTGCCAAGTGAGTGCCTTTAGTAGCACTTCATGACCCCAAGGAGCACATGACTGATGGGGTTCCCAGGAATCACTGTTGTGATAGCAGCTACTCATGGAAATGTACTGGTTAGGAGACACTCTCCTCCTGAAGTCTCTCTGTTCCTAGTGATGTGTCTTGTGGCTTCCCTAAAAGCCCTGAATTGATGTTGGTGAGACATCTGCTGGTGTACCTGCCCCTGCATACATGCTTCGGAGAAACACTCCAGTTTTGCATCAGGATTAAGATGGAAACTGGTGTTGGAAGTGCGTTTTCATCACCAAAACAGTCTGTTATATCCTTTTTGTTATATCCTGCTGTTTCCTGTCTGCTCAGAGTCATAGTCTTACTCTGCTTGACCTGTCTTGTGCCAGCCATCCCAGCTGGCAGATGGCCAAAATCTCTCGATGAGAGCACCCAAATGGAAGCAAAAAAACCCGAGCAATCTTAATTTACAAAGTTTTGGAATATGGTCCTCGCCTTTTTGTCTACTCTTGGATTAATTCTCACTTCAGTGCATCTATGGTGATGACTGGAGTTATCTCAGTGTGGAGTTATGTAAATAGTGCCTTTTGCATGCAACATTATGTCATATTCCTTGGCCAGTTTAGATTTCATCATTTCTGTTCCAAAACCTGACTTGCTGTACAGACCCAGAAATGTTGCTTCATTACAGGCATTTGTTTAGGTTTCTCGCCACTGTTACTAAATCAGCTTTGTGAATCACAGAATATTCTGAGTTGGAAAGGACTCGCAAGGATCATCAAGTCCAGCTCTTAAATGAATGGCCCAAACAGGGGGAATGAATGTGTGGCTTTGGCATTATTAGCACCAAGTATTAACCAACGGAGCTAATCTCAGGTTCCTCTGTATTGCCTCTTAGTTTTCATTCAATGTCTGAATTACCTGCCTCCCAGATTTTTTATTTTCTGTTATACTGGTAGGAAGCCTGAAATTATAAAAGGCTGTCACTCAGTTGTAAAAGAATGTAAAAAAAATTCCT